TTTGAAGATTTTCATATTTTCTATTATTTTTAAAAGATTCGTTAATTACGGAATTATTGAAAATAATTGTAACAATGTCTTGATAAATCTTGAATTTCACTATCTCCAGTAATTAGCAGAGAGAAATCTGAATTTTTTTACCTGACACTTGCCTAACAATACCTAATATCATACTATTACTATTCTATTGCTCTGTTAAAGATTCAGGCAATGTTTTAATTATTTCACAAATATTTTTACAGAATTCTTGAGACAAAATAGTATTGGCCATGCTAGCTCTGCTGATATTATCTTTAACTATTGCTTCATTTATAACAAACTTGATATCAGCTTTAGTTATTATAGATGTCATAATATTATTTATTAATACAAAGTAAAAAATACATTATTAAATATATTATTACATTTCTGAAAACGTAACAATGAGTAGATCTTGAAGTAATTTTGATATAAGAGATACAATTGATTGAGTGGATCAAAATTCATCTCCCAATTCATCAGTTTTAGAACCTGAAAAAGCAAAAGATATTACACTATCTATATAACTCAATCAATTCATGGATAACTATTTCAAGATGATAAAGATATATACTATATAATTGGGTGTTAATTTAAATAATCAAAATCTCAAGAAAGCATTCTTCAATGATTTATTATTAGATAATAAAAAAGAAGTAATTCAATTTGGATTTAAAATTCCTCTAAATGAAATAGTTGACCATCTAAATAGAATCTCATTCAGACTTATCAATATAGAACAAGGTAATGATTTGATAATTTTATTTTATTCAAAACTAAAAATATGTGGTACAATTTCTCACTATCTAAACATTGGCTCATACTAATTGGATAAAGAATAGCTCAAATATTAATTTCTTTATGATTTATCTTCCAAGAATCAATTGGAAACTAGAAAATGTAAACTAGACCTTTTATTAGATAAGTTGGTGGCAAGGTTAAACACATTAAAAAGTCTCATCAATTAAGATAATTAAGGAGAGTGTGTAATTAATTATTAGTTATTTTTTCAGTTGTAATATATATCATATAATAGCAAAGCTAGTGTCAAGACATATATAACTTATCATGAAAATAGTTAAAGCTAAAGTAGGAATCCAAAAAGTTAATTATTGTCTTAATCCAGAATTTCTTGGATCATTAATATTTACTAATAAGCTCTTCAGGAAAATCAGTAGCAAAATTAGCAGAAAGTTGACTCTCGAAGATAAAGATAACAAATTCTTTAGAAAGATAACTACATATCCTATTGGATGAATCATAATTCCACTTACATTCACATCTAATATAAAAAATAATACTCGACTTAGTAACAAAAAATCTATCATGATTCCAACTGAAATACTGGTTGAAAAATATAATCCTACATTATTCAACTATATCTTGCTTGATAATAATTGGTTCTATAGTCATAAATATAATGATGATGAGCTTCAGACTTATATACCAGAAATAGTAACTGATACAGAAGATACCTGGATAAGAATGATATTGTATATCAAAGATCTTAATGTTAAGAAAACAAAAAGGATTATAGTATTTGTTAATAAAAAAAATATTTGTGATTTTTACAAATTACTTCCTGAAAAGTTAAAAGATTTGGATACTTCTAATTTGAATACTTTTTCCAATTCAAACAGTAATTCAAGTAATTCTTCCACATTTAGTTCGGGAATAAAAGTTATACATATAGTAAAGAAATACTCTGTTCGAAAGCATAAAGTAAAAAAAGTAAATATAGTAAAAATATAATTTTTGGAAGTAAGTCATGTCACATTATAATATGTCCTGAGGGAGCAATCCATATAATTGCGAAAAATAATTTATGCTGATAGCTAGTACCAAGACACATTTTATGTCTTTACAGTTACTATTTGAATTTAATTTTGATAAGTCTTCCAGTATTTGAGACGATAGATTTTTGTATTAATATAATTTCCATTATTCCATTCACCCTCTACATTAAATTTTATATTTTCTTTCTTATGATCTTTATTGCATATAGGACAGGATACTGAATAAGTAAAGTAATCATCATATTCATTATTATATTTCAAAGATAAATAAGAGAACTGCTCTAGCACTTTGTTAATAATAGTTTTTTACTTCTCTTCTGAATCAACAAGTAAAATAGAGATTGAAGATTGAGTTTTGTTAGATGCAGTCACAAGATGACTAGATATATTTATTAGTGATATATTTACTTTAGTATCTGATAATTTTTCTGAATCAATAGAAATAGATTTGGTAAATATATTTACTTTAGCTTCTGGTAATTTTGAGAAAGTAGAGCTTCGAGTCTTTGACTTATCTTGATTATTTTTTTGGGATGAATCTATTACAGAGCAATGACTCTTTGGATCTAAAGGAATTGATTCAGTAGGTATATTTACCTCAGTTTTTAGTGAAGTATTCTTGATCAAATTTTTTTTGGGATGGACTGTCTCAGAAATTTCAGTCATATAAGGTAACTTTTCTGAAGATATTCCATAATCTATAATCTCTTGAATTTGTTCATTAGTAAGCTCTGAAATAGAATTCACGCTATATGAATTAATATACTAAATCTTAGCTAGACTTACTTTTTTAAATAATTTATAGTTTTTTTCAGCTCTTTGAGTTTTCTTACGCAAGCTATCCTGTGATATATTCCTAAGTTTTAGCTCTAATTCTTGCAATCTTTTCTTGTAGAGGATAGAAAGCTGTTCTGTGATGATATTATAAAGCATACCTCTTGTCTTTTTTTCACCAAATTTATTATTGCTTCTGATAATCTCATCAAGCTGATCTCTGAAATCCTTCCAGTAGAGATATTAATATAAAATTTCTTTCTGATTAGCTCGATTTGCTTTATTTTTGATATTGATGGCTTTGTCACATAACTGAACTAGATATTGTGAGATTTCATCAATGCTGTAGATAACTTTTTCAAGATGAGTCATCTCAGAAACTTCAGTCACATTATTATAATTTATAGAGAACAGACTATCAGATTTCAGAGAGGTGAACAATTCGTACTTGAGTTCATTCATTCCTTTTTTCTTATGTGTTCTGCTATCCCTGGTAACTCTCTTTTGATCATGGATTACTGAATCAGAGGTAGGACACTTGATTTCTTGAGACATTTTCTCTTTAGGATGTGTTGGAAGAGACTCTTGGGCTTGAAGTTTCTTTTTCTGATTTCTCTGTCTAATCTCATTACTAAAGATGGCGTGGCAACTGTTGCAACGTGGTGACAAATAAAGCATCACCTAGTTGCAACTAGTTGCAGCTTATAAAATTTTGGAGTTGCAACGTGTTGCAACAGGTGACAAATAAGCGTCACGTACTTGCTGCGCCATCTCTACTCATTACTAACCTTTTTCTTATACATCTCATTCAAGAAAGCATCCATTTTCTTGTCTTCAGATAATGAAGTATTCACCAATGGTTTCTCATGATGCATTATCATTGGCACTTAATCTGCAATTGAATTGAAGTTAGATAAACTGTTATTAGAAGAATTAATTCCCTTTTGATCATTTTGCATCTGCCTCTGTTCCACTTTCGTGATTCTATCTCTAAACTCAATATTTTCAGATTCCAACTCCTCGATTCTGGTCTTGAGTTTGGCATTCTTAGCATTACATTATTTACTCTCTTCCATAGCCTGTCTTGGAAGCCCAGCGATCCTGGTCTTAAGTTCAGTTCTCTCAGCCTCAAGCTCAACGATCTTATCACTAGAAGCAACAATCTCAGTATTCTTATCCTTAAGCTCATCATTCTTGACTTTAATCTCAGCAAACTTCTTCCTAAGTTCAGCAATCTCAGCTAAGAGCTTGGCATTTAATTCCCTTAATGATTCGTTGGATTGAGCATTTGACATGTTTGATGAACATCGATAACAATAACAATAAAATAAATTCACGAAATACACATACAAAAGTAAAGTGATTATATATGCGAAATCGGCCACCAGGGTCAGCTTTATTGATAAATCAAATGTTAAGTCTATTAAAATGTGATTATATCGCTGTATATTTTTTATTATTAATAATATTACATGCTAAAAATATTAGATTACAACATTCCTTTTATTCAATACGTTTCCCTTACTAAACTAATATTACTATTTAATATCCATTAATCTTATAACAAATTTGTTTTCCGAAAAGTCTGCTCCAACATAAAAAGATCATAGTTTTTTGTAACTAGTTTTCCATCTTCTGCTCCATCTGGTCATTGAATGTTTTTATGATTCATAAAGTGAGAATAACACGCAGAACTAGCCTTTCCAGACCATTCAAAATTGATCAATTTCACATCAAAATCATTATCTTCAAGTCGACTAACCAGAATATTTCCTTCACGTAAGTCTCCATGTACATGTCCCAAATTATGCAAATACTCAACCGCTTTTTCGATTTTCTCTTTTAAGCAATTTCGTTCCTGATCATTAAGGTTAAGGGAGATGCGATGTAGCATTAAATAGTTGTCCAGATATTCCATATAAACCAAACACCAATTTCCAGGAATAATTAAACTAGCAAGAACTTTTGGTGCATATTCAATATTTGCTAAAAGTTGATGTGTATCAAGTGAATATTAATACTTTCAGACAGTCTTCACGTAGGCTTTCTCATGCGACCCTTGCTCATCTGAGAGAATAACTTTCCAAAGAAGATAAATGCCAATTTGAGAAATAATCTGAACACTATAAGACTTATTGTCTATAATCACTTCAGGAAATGATGGATGTATAGGGTGATCAGTTTGAGAGATGTTTTGAACTAGATAATCAACTTGAGCATAGTATTGATCAAGAATTTGGAGAGATTTCTTAAGAGCACGAAATGTTCTAGAAATTGATAACATCATTTCATCATGTTTCTGCTAGATAAGAGGAAAAGCCAGGGTAAGTGGGTCAACAATAGCAACATCTGCAAGCACAGCACCGGAAATTGAAAAATAAGATCCTAAAGCGCAATCAAAGTCAGTCGAAAATTCATAAAAAAATATATCAAGTTGAATTTCTACAATACCTGCAATTGTAACTAAAAAGCATGGAAAATTGGTCACACAAAATGAGGGACTATTTTCTTGTTCTTTGCAGAAAACTAAATAATAGCTATAATTTTCTAAATAAGGAGAGGCACCGAAGTTACAGTTATTGCACTTATACTCGAAATTAGCCCCACGGTACTTAGAATGGAATATAGTGCCGTCTGTATGAGCACCCTTTAAACTGTTGTCAGAATTTTTGCGTTTAATCGTAAGTATTTCCACAGGGTGATCGAGATATTCTTTTAACAGTTTATTTGTCACATATTGGCGATCTTCCTCTTTCTCATCAAATTTGGCCATTTCATAGCAAATCTCATAGGTGAATTCATTATCTTTCTTTTCTGGATCTTTCACACAGAAATCCTTAAATTTACCAAAAATAGAATTATACAAGCTAACAGGTATAGTACTAGAAGCCTCTGGTGAGTGGTGATTAAGACAAATAGGATCACCTTTCTGTCGCTTGAACCATTCCTTAGGAATTCCAAGCGTCGATGGTGGTGGTAATTCACCTATCATATCCATGTATGATCTTTTAATGCCTGCAGAACAAGATTATATAAGTTTAGTTTGTTTACAATCTGCTGATAGTTAAAATATCGTACCTTTCTTTACGCCAAGGATTCTGACTGGATTATTAACCGAACATTTGTGTTTTTCAATAAAATCGACAAAGTCATTTTTCGACCAGCTAAAATCTATATTTTTATTGCTAATAACAAACTTATAATCTATCAATGAGCCTTTAAGACCGAAAGCTTCTTTCAAACAGGAATGTAACTGAATAAAACTATTAAAATCATCAGAAATAAGACGTATGACTTTTGATTCAAGGTACTGAAAGTATATAGCAACTAAAAAATAAAATTATTATATTAGTCAACGTAACGATATGTAAAACGTTCTCAATAAATGAAACAAGAACATAGTAATAGATTTGGAAATTATTCGTGATACCTACCTCTTAGACACCTGTAATATTGCTAGCCTTTCTCTCAATTCTTGAATCTTCTGATTTGACGCAGTCGTAGCTATTTAACAAGAATAAATATATGAGGCACAAGTTAATAAATGAAATTATTGCGAAGAAAGCAGTATAGATTTGGAATATTCGAATGCAGTCATGGTACTACTTACTCTGTCCTTCGCCCTTAATTTTATTAATAAACTTAATGATTGTTTTAGCTGGTCCTAATTTTAACTCAACTTGCAGGAGTTCTTCCACACTCAACTCGAGGAAAGCTGGACCTTTAAATTTTTGTTCACGAAGAATATTGAAATGCTTATCCTCAAGTCCTATATCTTGGTCGCGTAAAAAATTTATCAGATCCTCCG